AAGTCAGTAATAGTAGTCATTAGTTTATTTAAAAAATCTTTACAAATAAATTTTAACTAACATTATTGTGAATCAAATTATTAAATTGATGATCTTTTCAAATGAACAAATAAATAAAAATAATGATAGTTAAAAAAAATTCGATGTTGATTATAAGATAGAAAATAAAAATGTATTTCAATTTTTCTATAAAAAAATAATAATTGAAGTAATCAAAAGAGACGACTATTTATGCCCATTTCACTTCTACTGTTAAAAAGGCGATACTAATCAAATTAATTCTATTCAAAATAAAAGTAAAGAAAGAGAAATAGAAGAGAGATTAGTTAGAATAAGGGCTAAAAATATTATAAAACGATTAATTTGTAGCTAATTTTTATAGGGGTTAATTAATTGCTTTTATAAGAGGTTTGTGTCCACATTCAGGTGGATTGTTAGGGTACCTGCGTCCACGCTCGCGCTTGTATTGGCCACCGTACTTGCTGCGGTTCGCGGCGAGCTCCGTAATCTCTGGGATCCAGCTGGCAAACACCGCCTACGCCCACAATAATTCCGTTGCCGTGAAATTCAAACAAACCTAACTTTTTAATAAGGATCAGACTTTCGTAGTCCAAACCTTTCGACTAATCGTTTACAGAATTGTATCAAATTTTCTTACTACTTATTTCTTATATGCATATGTACACGGAGAAAAATGTTGTCTAAAAATTACTTCATTATTTTGGGTTATCCAGGGATATCCCATCTTTTGATAAAAACATTTCAAATTATTAATCTTCCTTCTTTGATTAAAGTATTTATCCAAAATTAAATGTAGTCATTTTGTTTTATTATTTAAGTGAAAGTTTACTCACACAAAACTGCCGACTTGGTCTATTCACTGAAATATTTACCCTAAAAATATTAATATTTTAAATGCTATTTAACGATGTTTTTTCTCATCACTAAAAATCCTTTGCGCATAAGTATCTTTTAAGAATATACATTAACCTGAAATAGAAAACCGCAGTCCAGCTCAAACTGTTGTTTCAAGGTCAATTAAAAACTTTGTTCTGGATGAGCTTACGAGTTTAAAGGTAGAAATCAGTAGTTCTAAAATTATCACAAAAATGAATTTCTAACAATAATTAATCGTCATAGTTTATAAATTAAGCACAAAACTTATTACATTTTAAAAATACATTATATTACTGAAAATTTAAAATAGTTACAAACCGTTCAAATATCCCTGGGTTGCCCACAGTACGGATAATTTTGATGTCAAATCTCAAAGTAATTTTCAGACGAATTTTCTTTCCGTAAATATTTATCAATAATTAGAAATTATTTGTCAAAAATATTATTATTATGAAAAAGCTTCATGTCAACACTTATGCCGTGCGTTATTGCTCTATGCTTTTTATATTAGGATAGCTAAACGAATTTATTTGTAATAAATGAATAGTGAATAAAAATAATATTTCAAATGTGCCTCTCCGATCGTATTAAATCCGTTAACTTGAGCACATTCATAGAATTGAGTGGAGCATTGGACAGTCTTGATGAAAAATATAAGGTTTAAATTAGGTAGCAGACTAAAGTGATGAATAGTGCACTAAAACTGACATGAATTGAATGGTGTGTATAATCAATTGGACAATAACGAAGATATTACAAAAAATGAGGCCAAGAGTCCAAAGAGACTTCTGACATATATCTGTGAATCAGAAAAACTTGATGCTTTAATTATAACATCTTTATCCTCAATAACCCTTTATTGATTTTTTATATTCTCGTGACCCTCTGACCTCCGTTGAATTAAGAAAATATACTGATATACAATATTTATTATTATAAAAAATCTATCGTCTGTAGACAGAAGAAATTTGAAAAGTCTCTTTTGCTTTGGCCATTTAAATTTAAACTGAATGGAATATTTTGATAATTCCACAAATATTTCAACTCTATAGTACCACTTACTCGGAAAACATTTTTGGATCTGATGAAAGATAATTAGAACAATATTCAAAGATCTTTAAATGTAATAGAATCTAGGTGAATTTACATTTAGGATCATATGGAAAGAAAAAATTCATCATTAGATATCGTCATGTTAACACCAAAGAAATAATCAACTTTTTAAAAAAAAAAAATTTTATAGAAAATATTTATGATGAAGATATTTTCAACTTCAGTTCAAATTTCTGACCATCAAAGCCAAGAGAAGTTCTAAAAAATTTTCTAACATGAGAAATATTGAATATTTCTGTTTGACAATATATACATGTACATATCATTATGAAATCATGCGTATTTATTGCTTTACGTTCAATTTGATATTCATTGTGATAAACAAATTTTTTACAGCAAAATAGTCATCATCAATATTGACAACGCTATTCAATGAATATTCAAATGATTATTTTTTGTCATTGAAAAAATATTGATTAATTGAGCTGTGTTCATGACAAAGAATAAATAAATAAACCAATTAGACATTCATAGAATTATTTTAGTTTCGTTAGATAAAAAATTAAACAATCATTTTCAAATTTTCCTTAAAAAATGGTTTTTACGAATAAAAATTTAGAAATTATAAATAAAGAAATATATAATTTTTAAGTATTTTTGAGAGTCCAGAAAATTTCCGAGTACCCTTAAAGTAATGTTCAATGGGAAAAAAATATAGTGTAGAGTTCTTGAGCATAAGTTTCTAATTGTGACAACTTTCATAAACTTCTATAGAAGAAGAACAATTTATTTTTTATTTCAACTACGTATTTGTAGTTGACATTATTAACATGGCAAAAAGAAAAGAAAATTCATTGATAATGGAATTAATCAGCATAATTCTACAACGTATTCATGATGTGATAATATCAAAGTCATTACTTTTTTCTTCATTTGGTTACGAACTTTGTAAATTTTTATCATACTAAATTATAGTTATTTCAAAAAGTGTTATACATAGGAATATAATAAAATGTACATAAAAGACTTAAAAAAAGGTGTATAATTATTTGCAACTCATTAAATGACATATTACAGATTAGAAAATGTTGAATAGAAGTACGTTCTTCTTGGCAAATATCGGAATAATTTACTCAAATCTTACTATCCAATAAGAAAGATTAGCTGATAGCTTGGAAATATGACAAGGAGAAATTAATTAAACCTCCATGCTTCAGTTACTTCAACTAGTCTCTCCTAGTATCAGATATAATTTTAGACAGAAATTACGTCAATCCATGGTTTTACATTGATCTTCATACTATTTATATCCTTATTTATCAAATGCTCTTTAGTATAACTCTAATTATGAAGTACTCACGTTATTTCAGATAAAATTCCAATTATTTCAATGCTATGTATGTCAAATTCTAAAATGATTGAGTTTCTAATTTTAATCCCTCCTTGTTTAAAGATTTGTCTAATGGACTTCATTTTATTCAAGTGCATATTAACACTGAGAAAAAAATTTACTTCATGCAAAAAATATTTCATTTGATCATTAACATCGAAATTTCAAATAGTCGTAATGAAATATTTCTTTGGATAATGACTATTTTATTAAAAATCATTTTATTTAATCAAATGAATAAAGTGTCATTTTTTTTTAAATTTTGGAACAATGAAACAAATGACAAAATGTGTTTTTGATAAAAATATTTTTGTATTGAATAAAACGTTATTTTGAGAATATTCCAAGTTTCTTTTATTGATTAAATAAAAAATTCTTTCATTTAACGAAATTTTTTTTCTCAGTGAATCTTAATTTCGCAATAGAACGGATATTAAAAAAAATTGAAACAATTAGATTAGAAATGACTTTCTGGAAAATAATTACCTATTTGGTATATAAATGAATTCAAACATAATTATTTCGTGTTTCTAATTAAAGTAAAAAGGTACATAAAAGCATATTAAAGTGATACCTTAAGTAGAGAGTAAAACTGGCTCGTTTCTGACCTAACAATGGGCCATGGTTGACTAGGCTGATCCAGTTTTAGGCCAGAAATGACTCAGTCTTGCTTTCTACGTGGGCAAACTGATGAATGATGAACCAATTTGCTTTACTAATCAATACTTTTTTATTCCACTTAAAGTTATGTAACTAATTTAACTGGAAAGATTTAATCATAATTGCTCTTCATAAAATTATTATTACTCAATAAAAAATTATTACCACACGATAATGTTTGTGTTTTATCTAATTTTGTACTCAAAAAGATATCATTTATTTCAGGAAGAATGAAGTTTTTTGAAAAAAATAAAAATTTAACTTGAATCAAATAATATAAAATATCTATCTTTTCGAATTAGAAAGTTATTTTTGTTTTCCTGAAGGTCATACAGTGATGTCTTGTTGGAAATTAAATAAGATAACGTATTTTTATAGAAAAGTTTGAAATTTTTCGCTTGAATAATAATTGTCTAAATTTAATTTTCATCTTTTTAAATTTAGTTAAAAATTAATCTCATAATCATTTTGTTATTTTTTATTATATCATCTTACTTTTTTAAAAACATTTAATTCTATTCTTTCGTATTAAAGAGCAAAGTAATAATTCCCTGTTGTCACTATTCATTCCGTTTAAAATAATTAAGAAATGCAATACGCATTAAATGATTAGGCCAACTGGCATTCAGAGTAATTAAACACTGGTCTAGTTTATGGAGATCGATTCTTAATCTCCAGTTATAAATGTACGTCTGACAAGTTACATACTCTCTGAAAAAGGAAACAGTGTATATTCAATGATTAATTTTGAGGAAATAACACTAGATAAAGTAAAGATCGTTATTTAAAATTGATCATTGCAAATAAAATTAGTTATTTTTGAATATCCTACGTTCGATATTTTGAAGAAAAAAAATGAAAAAAAATGAAAGAACGATAATCAGTAGAAATAAATGAAAGTTTAAAATCGCATTCCTACTCGATTAAAAATAATAAAGAATCCCTTATCAAAAACATATGATTACAAACATGGAGATTGATGGATTGAATTGATTAATACCTCTTTCCATGTTCCCGCTTGTATTCGCCGCTGTACTTGGACCTACTGCCTACGAGCTCTATTATCTCAGGAATGCTACTAGCAAAAATGGCCTGTAAATAGAAACAACTCAAGAATTCTACTGTTGATAATTGTAAAATTCAAGTGAATGAATGGCCAAGGCTTCTTACACATTCATAGCAAGCTTATGCCCTGTTATTATATTCCATTGCTATTTTTGAAAGATCGACCAATTGAAAATTAGTGAGAATAACCTCATTAGGTCCTTTGCGAAGAAATGAATCAATTTTAGAATATCTGAATTGTGATTGATTGAATTCTCAAGAGAGATTTCTTCGCAATTGACCTTGCTGTATTGAACATTCTACAGAGTCAAGTGCAATACTAAGAATGTACAAGTACTAGTTAAAGCATTTATTTAGACGAAAAATATCGAAATCACAGGTTATAATCAACTGTATGCATCGTGAATGATAGATTACGATTATACGTAAGAAAAGAAGTAACAAGGAAATGCAATTGAAGAAACATAGAATAAGAGAACATGTAGTTGTTGAGAAGAATAAGCTTATAAGCAACTGCAGTATCTGTTACATTTGAGAGAGCAGCAGGTCACAATTGATTCTCAGTATTACTATTTTGTTCATTTTTATATAAAACTCATTCGTTGTTCAAGTAATTCTTCTAATTCACATAATTGTTAAAAACGTATGCACTAAACCTATTACAACTATTTTTAAAGTATTAGTAAAGAAGAAGCAGTACAAAATTCAATTTACAATCTCAACTTTTAATCATTATTGCGTATTATAATTTAAAATATTTAAGATTGTTAAATTTTAGAGTTATAATCTGTATTTTTTAAATTACATTACACATTTAGTTTGGTAATTGTTTCCTTTTATTGAAAGCTGTTAATGTATGAAAAAGCGTTACAATGTAATGGATATTATTTTGTATTTAATGCTATTAATCCAATCACTGAGATTTTAAAATTTTATGGTGATTAGCTTTAAAAACAGATGGTTTTTATTTACAAAATCAAAAAAATTTCATTCATTTCCTTTATGATAATAATAGTTGTAAAATTTTTTATGATCTACAAATTACATAAACAACAATTTAATGGCAAAAAACAAACATTTCAATGGTTATTAACAATCGAATATATATAAATTAAAGAATAAAGATAGTAAAATAAATGAAAAATCAACAAATTGTGTATTTCAGTTTTTTTGTATCAAACTTTGACAATTGACGTAACATCAATTTCTGTAATATTAATGGCATCAATAATCATTAACTTTTTTATTATTTTATGATATTTGACTTTTTAAATAGGTTCAAACTTGTTTATAAATTTTGAATTAATCAATAAAATATGTCACATCAATTTCCTCAATTTTAAATTAATTAGTATATATGAATAATGAAACATGTGTAAAATTAATTATCAAAAAAATTAAGTCATTTGATTAAAGAAAATTGGTCATTTTCTCAGACTATCCAATCCTTCGACTCATTTTATCAATTAAATAAATTATCATTAGTAATTCAAACGATAAAATATAAATAAATATCGCACGATATGTTTTTATATGAGAAAATTTAAAATTATTATGCGCGAAATTAATAATGTTAATACTGTACTAGAACGCAACGGCTATAGGTGTTCGAGAGACAGAATTTATAAACAAAGCGGCGAGTTTTTTAATGTCGCAGCGATTTCAGCAGCGTTTGAGCATACGCATAACACAGACAGACAAACAAACAGGACGAGCGCTCAAGCTCTTAACACCGGCACGATAAGAATAAATTAGTTTTTTTCCATCAAAATTATATACTCAAAGAAATATCAAAGTAGTCAAAGACAATTTATATTTACGTATTTACATTACATATACACGAAGAAAATAAAATCATAAAAATTACCCTAGAAAAAAAATAAAATTTACTTTTTTCGAGTTAAGTTAGGATTTTTTCCATAAAAATTATACTTGGGAGGTGTTAATTGAGCCATTTTTACACCAAAAGTGTCAAAAAATTACTTATGAGAAAATATTGAAAAAACAGTTTGAGAGAAATTGAAAAATTTCAATGGCTGATAATAATAGTCGCTTTAACTCATCCATATAATCTTCTGTTATAAATTAACTAATAATTTCATGTTATTTTGTTCTTTATCAATAATGATACTTATGCTTTTGTCAGGAGTATGGACGAATTTAGAACATTATGTTTTTTATTTATACTACTCTCTTAAACTGAATCAGTGAAAACTACGACAAATCAGTGAATATTCACTGATTCACAGGTGTTTTCACTGTTTCAGTTTAAGAGAGTAAGTAACCACGAATATTGGGTAATTTTTAATTGAAAACTTTCTCCGTGTATGTATATATGTTTACACTTAAGTAAATACTTTTGAGTTTAGTCCAATATTTTGAAACGTACTATTTTGATGTACAAATAATATTCTTTCTAGCAAATACCTGTATATATCTTTATATATTTTTCTATCAAACTCTCAATAAGATAATTATTCAACTAATTTAGAGAATATGAATAACAATAGTTATACATTTTGGTAAGAAAATCGTTGGTAGAAACAAATTAATTTTAGTCATGCACAAGCTCGATCAAGTCTCGAGAAATTGCATATAAGTCTTAAACACTTGCTCGAGGCTCGATAATTTTGTTTTCGCGTGTGAGCTCTCTCAGACAAGTTCACTCTTGTTGACTCAGTTTGTATATCGTCTCAGCACTGTAAATCGAGTTTTCCGTGAGTTCAAGAGAGAACCCTCAACTCTTATCGTGGTCAAGTGCCTCGCAGAAAGTGAGAACGAGAGAAGACAAATGAAAAGGAATAAGAAAATACGAGACAGAAGAAAAGAAAATTACGAGAAATTGATAAAAAGGGAAAAGATACTTAGGATTAACATTAGACGTAAGAAAATTAAAAACTTTCTTGCGATTAAAAGAAGATATATATCAAGATGTTAACAGAGAAAATAAATAAGATGAAGATATGTGAAAAATGAGGAAGAAAATTTTACAAGAATTCGTAAATTTGTAATGATTGTCCTACTTTTCCCTATTTTAATTATAAATTTCGTAACTATTTGAATTTAGAGATATTTATATCTGCGTATTTTGAATTTCAAAGCACATTTTACTATACTTAGTTTGAACAATAACCAAATGTTCCTCACATATATTTTATTACAGCTCAATTCCGAAATGGTACAAATGGTATCAAATCGTTGTTGAAATTCAGCCAATATTACGCCCATACCCACCTTTATGATTTGCCATTACGTATATTGATTTATTTTGACGGTTTTTTTAATACGGTTGGCGATCGTGAAAACTCTTGGTATGCTGGGACACATTAAAAGTCTCGTTTACTATGTCATAAACCCATTTTATAAATATACGATATCTATTTGTGTTTATTATTCTTCATAAATATATTGGACGATTGAACACAAGAAATCATTTTTTAATAATTCATTTGAAAACCACTGATACAGAATTTTTATTTTTATATCAAATTTGAAAATCTTATATTCTAATAGCACTTTATAAACTCATTGATCAATAAATTTTAGAAAATAAATAATTTTATGAATGTTCGGAATGGATTTGTTGAGATATTTTTATTTTTATTATTTCAATAAAAAAATTTTCTTAGCGTTTTATTTAGTAAGAAACTAAAATATAATTAAAATAATTTTTTTTTTACATCCATAAACTTCTGTATTTGATAGAAATGTTCCTCCATAGATATCCTAGCTATCTATTTATAGTACATTTGTTCTAGCTTTTATGTTAATTAATAAAATATTTAAGCGGTAAGAATCAAGAACATTCGTTACTATAGATTTTGACTAGTCTACGTTATTACTATTTTCTATAGTCATAAAAATATTTATAGACAACCCCATTTCCGTACTATTGTTTTTACATTATTTGGTCGATAAAATTTTACTACCCTCATCAAGAATAATGATACATAACGTATATATTTATCCTCACGAATCTATAGTGATATAATCTGCTGAATATGGTTTAACTCAAACAGATATTTATCAATAAATTAAGACTTTGTTACATTAACAGGTAATTCGTTGTTTAAGTAAACGGCATTTTATCAAGAGAACATTCGTTAAGTTAAAAAAAACTCAAATACCGGTAAACTGATATATAAATCTTCTGATAAAACTACTTGTAAAATACATTTATTTAATACTGACGGTAAAAAAGTAAGGATTGTAATAACTATTTTCCTTACTTATCAGTAAGTTAATAAGATTAGTAAAAGTAACGTAAGAACAGAATACATTTTCAAAAAATTGTTAATTACTTGGCACTTACAAAGTAAATAAAAGTCGTCAACCTCTCTTTGTAATTAATACAATAAACCGCTAAATAAAATTAAAAAAAAAGAAAATCTATATCAGTATATTGAGATTCCCGTGCTGCCTTGCTCTGCTCGAGGTGCAGGTCATGTTCGGTTAACCGGTTGGTCCATAAGTAAGAGAATGATCAGGAGTAGACTTATTTTCAAACAATCGGGCGGAACACGTGAGCTGATTGTGTGATGCTATAGCAATCATATAAATTTCTAATTCACTGATTCTATAATTATGCACAGCAGTTTGTTCAAACCCTTTTTACTGACAAGCAACTTCTCTCATTTTTTTGATGGTTTTTTGGCGATTTCATATGTAAACGAAACGAATTAAGTTTTTATTGTTTAATATATGCAGCGATTATATTGACGCAACATTTATCAACATATATAACACATTTTCAAGCGAAAAGCGAACGGTTTATATTTACACATAATTATATTCGAAATATACCATATAGACACGAATTATTTATTTTTATTGTTAATAGATGTTGCGTGTAAAATGTTCGCTTGAATAGTGATGTTGAATATTGAATTTTTTTAACTAATTATTATCAGATTTCTTTCTTGTTATTCTAATGGGTAATCTATTGATTAATAAATTATTTCAATTATTCATTACTTAATGATAATATCAAAGTCTTTAGAAAATATTTTAGATAAGTCTTCTGTCCACTCACTATTCAAACAAAATTTCAAATTTTGATTAGAAGACAAAATGTCCTGTCCTAAAATCATTAATTTACCATCATTTTAACTTCAAAAAATTACTAAATTTCATCATTGTATTTTTGCAACTAGTGCAGGACATTTTTTTATACATATATCTATATACACTGCTCAAATGTAGTCGTATTATTGTCGGTTCAATTTTATCATACAAAATTGAATTTTAATTTTTGTAATGTTTATGAAAATTTTAAAAAATGAACAGACAATTTTTACTCCCACTTACACGACTTAGTATACAAAACGAATAATTATATAAAAAATATTCAATAATGTTTTAACGCCCATCGATTTTAAATATTAAATAATATCCTGTATGAAAAATAATTTTTACAATATATTCTATGATTTCTAAAATTGTATTGTCAAAAAAAAAACTTCTCTTATCGTAGTTACAAGATCTAGAATAATAGAAAGTATTTTTAGGGAATAGAATCATAGAAATCACACAATATATTCAAAATACGATCGATCCGTCAATCTCTAATAATAATATGTTTCTTCTATAAAATTGAACATAACTTATTCATAGATTATCTTATGCATTATAAACTTTTGAAAGTTCCTTTTTTTTAATTTTCCACAGAACATTAGAAAATATTTTTCACCAACATATATTAATAAGTTCGAAAATGTCTATTTTATCTGGAAAATTTTTAATTTATCAATGATCATTAATAATACAGCATATATTTATCACTATTTATTCTAGATATATTTGTAAAATGATTGAAAAAAATTAATTGATTGTTGCACGAAAATAAAATTTGTAAAAAATTTTCTCAATGTTTACGGCAAAGATCATATAAAAAAATTTTCATAAAATAAATATTTCAAATTATTTGAAAAATATCAAATTTCAAAATAATATCATTCGTTTTGTAGACTTAAAAACCTTGAGAAAATTCCAGCTGTTAGAAAAAGAACTAAAAAAATTAAATTTAATTAATACTTTCATTTAATTAACATTAAGAAATTTTTTTATCTTTTAATTATATATAGTGAAAATGTACTTTTTAGAAATAAAAGTTTTCATGACAGTTGGAATTTTATAATTTACTACTCAAGGATGATTCTGACAATTAAATATAGATAGAGATAGAAATAGATATTTATATGTACATATATGAGTATGTATATATATATATATATATATATATATATATATGTACATAGAAAGAAAGATAGAGAGAAAGAATAGTAAAAAAAATTAAAATAATTGAAAGATGGAAGAAATAGAGATAGTAGAGACAGAAGATAGACAAGATGAGCATAGTAAACAGTACACTTCGGCAATAATTTTGGACAAAATGAGCTTACCAAACCGACGAGTAGAAAAAATACTAGGAATGTGCGGCCAAGAACGGTATTGCAGAAAACATCGCCGTATCCTACCGTAGACATTGTTACAATTAAAAAATAAACACATGTCCAATAAGAAAGCGGTTGTGGATTCGTGAACTCGAAAGGGTCCCCTGAGTTTTCAAGCTGTAATTAATAAATTGTAATAAGCAAACATTGAATAATTATTATTATTATAAATATCCCACACATGTAGATTGCTGTTTAAACTTTCAGCTGCATTTTGCAATATAAACTATATGCTACTTTTTACTAATTTTCAATGTATTTCCAGCGCATAAATATTGAAGTCAATCATTCGTGCAGCACGATAGGTTGTATAAGAGAATATTGATATTAAACTAAAACTATTATTCTCAACAGTACAAGGATTATCAGTCTTTTTTTCTGATCACAAGTGTGTACGATATAACAAATCCACATTTTGAAATTTAAAAATAAAAATATACTATAAACTGATTGCTAATGAAGTTGTGCAAATACTTAAGCTTCTGTGTTACGTCTCAGTAACAGAATAGTCTCTTTTTCGAGTCAAGACCCAATCGTCCTCTACTCACCATGGGTGCGGAGACCACGCAGAATATACTTTAGATGGAGAATTAAAGAAATAGGAAAGGTTCTTAGTGCTTTACAAACCACGCTGGTGCATTTAGTTTTCTCAAAGAAAGATAGAGATTTGTTCTTATGATAGTCAATTCTTTATTTAATTTCTGTCATCTTTTTACTCACTAAATTGTTTTACAGCTTGGCTAAACAGGTAGCTAGGTAGCAGAAGGTTGTATACGCGTGAAAGGCTGCAGTTGCTTGGTTTGGTTGACGCTTCGATTCTCGGCTCTCGGCGTTGGTGCGGCGTCTTTCGGCGTAGTTGAGATGATTTTATGGCTGTCTTGGTGAAAGGTTGTCGTTGGCTCGTTGGAAATCTTCGTTGAAGCCTTCTAGTTGACTGATCTTCCTTCTTCTTACACTCCCGATTTTTATTTTAATAATTTTTGTTAGGAGATAAATAAAATTAAAATAAAAGAATTTAAATATGCAATTTGTTAGAGAGAGAATCCACGTAGGATTATTTAATCTCAGATGAGTATATTTCAAGCCCAAAAATTTATCTTTGAATTTTAGAGTTGAATCAAGAATTAATTTAAAAGTATTCTGAGTTTGAAAAATTTTATCAAGCTGAGTTCGGATTTGCACCGTGCCCAGTAAAAATTTGGAAGAGAGTGTCTCTTGCGTCCAAGTCCGCGCTTTTTAAGGTGCTTTCCGCGCATCCTTTGGAAGCTTCTAGATTGGCGTTTTCCAATCCAAAGTTTTAATTAATTTAATTATTTAGGCCTAGCCCTAATTTCCTCCAATCATCTACGCAAATTTTTCCCTTCTCCTTTTGGTCAGTGTCCGGCGCATCTTTTGGCTCTAGCGCTTCCCCACGCAGGATTCACCTGTGCTTACTTAGCATGCGCCTCGAAGCTCTATGTCCCCCACATGGTTTTTTACCTGAGCTGTCATTGCGTAGACCCTTTCCCTTGCGCTTCTATTTTTTATTATTGATTTTTGTAGGTTTTCTTTACCTGCTTACCTTTCTTCTTCTCTGTGTTCCTGATACTTCTATTCCTTTGCTTCCACCGTTTTCTTGTTAAAGTTTTTATTAATATAAAAAAAATACAAATCCAGTTTATAACATAACTCCCCACTTTAGGATGAAGCGTTAGTATCCCAATGGTTACTACGCGAATCCAAATTAAATTTTCCCCTGTTTTTATCTTCGCTCAACTTTCTGCTACCTTTACAACTTTATATAAAACTTATGCTTACAACATTGGTTCTATTGGTTAATTGCAGCTATTAGTATTATTCTATTGAGGTAGTGTTTTTATTGAGGATGTTTTATTCGAGGTAGTGTCCAGTGTTGTTTATGTAAAAAAAAAGGTTTATTTGTTTATCGTATTTTTGTATTTTTTTTGTATATTTTTTTGCACACAACATCAATATTTGATCCGATTACATACATATTACTACCATTATAATAGATTATAATATTCCCTTAAAAATCAGGTATCGCAAACACATAAATATGATGAATAACACACATGATTCATAAGTGCGATGGATAACACACAAGATTCATACAAATACATAAGTATCGTTCAGTGTTGCATCGATCTTCAGGTAAGAAATTCCATTAGGTATTTCCTCCCTCTGAGTCTACGCACGAACCTTCGGTGAAACCACATGTAGTACCTGACCGTAATCTTATTTTATTATTATCCAAGTCGACCTCAGCATAATAATCATGTATGTGTACTTCTAAAGATCCTTCAACTACTACTTCTTCCCAATTTCCATATGGGTCATTGTAATGTGATCCTTCACAGTTTCCATTAGTCGATAATTTCCCTGCGAATGTCATACCAAGATTTGTTGTGTCATTCGCTCGTATTCCATATACTCGCTGTTCTATTCCAACTCTAACAAATTTCGTATTGTGCATCTCTCTACATTCGTGGTGGAGTTTATCATGGGTGAATATGATGGTCATTCTCCTACATCCAATAATGAAAGAGTTGTCACGTTCATATTTCTTGATGCACAATCATATCCTAACATGGCTCCTGCAGGTTGTGCCAGCATGAGCATGATTATACTCGCAACCCAAATTCGAATAGTCTTGAAGCTCCCTCGCTTTCCTCTTTTCTCTGTCTCTTTCTTTTCTATTACTTCTCTCTCTCCTGCTCCCTGTAACCTTGGAGTGTATCGTAGTTCCTCATAGTCACTAGTTTTTTTTTGTCTTACACTATGACTATATTTTAATTCATGCAACTCTGTAAAACTCTTCTTTATCACATCTTCTGCTGATCTTGCAATTCTCTTCCTAGGTAATAATGGTCTCATATCTTCATATATTCCTTCTCCCTTATCATTACCCCCTAGATTTTCTTCTAACTGATTTGTACTAACACTCTTTCCTCTCAGAATTCTGTTCTTTACTCGATAAGCTATATTCAATGCACACTTGCCCCCTATATTCTTTACTGTATGATGAGCACACTTCTCGTCTGCTAAAGGCAAATCTGAAGTCATGCGTAAATTAATTACTTCTCTTCTTGTATAATGTACCACTATCTCTTCAACTTCGGCTCCCATCACATAAATTTCTCCAACTTTTTTTTAATATATCTGCTAATTTTTCTAAACTCTGATTCCAAGCATACCCCTTTTGTGTCCATTTAATTCCTAGCAGTGCTTCCTTTATCGTGCAATTATCTCTCTTCTCAGGGCTCATCTTAAAGAAATCATAAGGTGGATCCACTATCCAAGTTTCTATCATTGGCTCATCTACCCCTACTATAGCTATCTCTTTAGGTATCAATTGTCCGTTTTCATCATAGAAACCCGTTATCCGTACCACCACTTTTTATCCCTTCTAGACTTGGATCCATCTCGTCACCAGTCAAAAAAAAATATGACAAGAATAATTTGTCTCCTACTCGCTGTCGCCACTATCAATATTTGATAGTATAAGTCTATTAGGATGCACTACTCTTGCTTTATTTTCAACTTTAATACATACTTTACCATCTGGCATATTTCTATTACTTTATATGGTCCTTCATATTGATTCTCTAACTTCCCTGATTTCTTACCTACTGCTAGACACACATAATCTCCTACTGTGAATCTTACTTCATTAACCCTTTTGTCATATATTTCTTTGATTTTAGCATGAATCAGGTTCCTCTTGCTTGTTGCTGTAAATCATATATTTTCGTCTTTAAGTCTACCAAATCTTCATAAGTCATTACATCATCATCTTCTTCTACCCTGCTCGATGGCAGTCTTGCTGGTCGTCCAAAAACTACTTGGAAAGGTTGATATCGTGTCCCTTCATGTACACTTGTATTGTAAGAAAAAGTGGCCAGCTCTAACCACTCATCCCAGTCTTCTATTTCCCTATTAGTATATTGCTTCAGATACTCTATTAATGAGTGATGTGATCGCTCTAATGATCCATTTGATTGTGGATGAAATGCAGTTGTCCTGACTTGTTCTATTTTAAATATTTTTGCTAACCTCTTCATTAATTTACTAGTCAGATTCGCTCCTTGATCGGTGAGAATTGTCTTAGGAGCTCCATATACACATATTACTCTTTTACCAATCCTCTTGCTATCTCTTCTGAGGTTGTTTTGCACAATGGTATGGCTATGGTGAGTTTTGTTAACAAATCTTGTACTGTCAGGATATGTGTATGTCCCTCTTCTGTCTTTGGTAATGGTCCCACTATGTCTAATGCAACTTTATCAAATGCTGCATCTGGTGTATCAGTAATCTGCATAGGGTGTTTTGTTTTCACTCTTTTTAATTTTTTTATTTGACAAGACACACAACTCTTTATGTAATCTTGTACATCCCTCTTCATATCTTCCCAATAATGTCTAAGTCTGATCCTTCGATAAGTTTTTGAGACCCCTTTATGACCCCCTACTGGTGTTGCATGAGCCTCTTCTAAAACAGCTGTACGCTCATTCCATGGGACATACCTGACCTTTCCCAAACAAACCACTACTACTGTATTGACTTCTTCTACACTATCTTCAATATATCTAAACATTTTTTGTTCCATGTCACTCCGTTTATGTGTTTTTACTGAAAGCTATAGCTATTGCTTTTAATTTAAGTTTTTTCAATAATTCTCGAAAAGGATCCTTCATCCATCTAAAATCTTCTTGATAGTTTTCTTCCTATTATTATCGCAATATGTGTTTTCTTGCCTATCTTCGTTGTTTTTTATTGTTTTCTTTTTCAGATGCTTAAACCTTGGGAATAAGGATCTTTCTTTCATCTCTTTGACCCTTCATCTTGTGGATTTCCTTCTTCGTCTAGGAAATACAAATAATTTACTCTACACATGTAAATCTGATCTCTGGTTTCTATGACGTATCTCTCTTTTCCTGATCTCATTGGTTTATCATCAATTTTTTCTTCTTGCTCTTCTTCACTCTCAATATTTTCATTGTAAATTTCTTCGTTCTTCACTGAAATCCCCCATCTCTGAATCTTATGTGTCAGCGTCTATACTGATTTCTTCCCAGACACCTGACCTGCACCAGCCCTGTGGTGTTTCCTCTCTTCCTTGCCACTGGCATGCTCCTCACTTTTCCTGAGCTCCTCATCTACTTCTTGCCGCTGTCTGACCTTTTTTCCTTCATTTTCGCTCTTACTACTTTCTTCAGTTTCTCCTAAATCTTCATCCTCACTGGATCTTTCTCCATCTGAATCTTCTCTAATTCCTCTATCAACTCTTCTTCTGAACTCGAGCTGAGTTCTATGATCTTCCTCGGTCTCCCTCTTTTTCGAGGAATTTGTGAAACTTTTTCCTTGACAAATGATTTTTTTGCTGCAATCTTACTGGCAACCAACCCTTTTGTGCTTTTCCTGCGACCTCTTCCACTCTTCTCTTCCCTCTCCAATGCCTGTTGCGTCTTCCTTTTCTGGAACCGCGTTGCATATCTTGGTACTTTCTCTGATTCTTCAGAGCTATGAGCTTTAGATTTATTCTTCGGGTCTGGATTAGCACTGGGAGGCTGTGTCCCTTCATCACGACTGGCGATTTTTCTCTTCTGAGAAACCTTTCGTCTTCCTCCTAATTCCATATCCTCAGTTGGTTGAGTCTTGTTAACTTGATCTGTAGATTTTGATTTTAATTCTGCTGCAGCTTTAGATCTCGTTAACATCATAACCTGCTTAGCCTGGTTACTATCAACTTCCATATCGGTTTGAGGTGGATTCCTAGAAAGTGCATCTGCGTTGATATTTGTCTTGCCAGCTTTATAGACTACAGTAAATTCATATTCTTCAAGTTTTAGTCGCCATCGCGTTAAGTCGCGAAGTTGGATCCTTGGCAGTCTGCATCCACACCAAGGGTTTTGTGATCTGTGACTAGTGTAAATTTCTTACCATATAAATATGGTCTGAATTGTTGCACTGAATGCAAAATTGCTAGAGCTTCCTTCTCATAAGTACTATACCTTTTTTTCATTTTCATTCAATATTCTGGACGTATAGCAACAGGACGGTCTTTCCCTAGAGGTCCTTGACTCAGTATACCTGCTATGGCATAGCCAGATGCATCTGTTGTTACTATGAATGGTATAGTCATGTCAGGATATTGTAACACTGGCTCCTTGCACAGCTCATCTCTTAACCTTTCAAATGCCTCTTGTTGTTCTGCTTCCATTCAAACGGTAAATTTTTCTTTAACAAATTAGTTAGTGGCTTAGCTATATCAGAAAACTTATGAATAAATCTCCTGTAATAGCCAGCTAGTCCTAAAAATTGCCTGATGTTTTTATGTTCTTTGGCACAGGAAAATTTTTCAACGCTATTATTTTATTTGGATCTGGTCGTACCCCTTTCGCACTGATAATGTGTCCCAGATATGCAACCTCTCTCCCGTCAATAACTCACATTTTTCTGGTTGCAATTTTAAATTTGCAGCTCTCAACCTACTCATTAGTCTATCGAGCTTTATCATATGTTCCTCTAAACTTCTGCAAAAACAATTATGTCATCTACATACACAATTGCTAACTATAAACCAATCAGTCCACTTAAAACACTGTGCATCAATCGTTGAAACGTTGCTGTTGCTGTTTTTTAAATTCAAAAGGCATTCTTTTAAATTCAAAATGTCCTAAAGCCGTAGAAAATGCAGTTTTGTGCCTATCCTTCTCATGTACTTTAATTTGTGATGAAAACCTGCTGCTAAATCAAAAATTGAAAAATACTGTGCCTTTCCTACTTGGTCTAAAATATCACATATTTGTGGGATTGGGAAGGCGTCCCACTGTTTTTTCATTCAATGCTCTAAAGTCTAAGACCATGCGCCAACGCTTATTCCCCTGTGCATCAGGCTTCTTAGGTACTATCCATAAAGGAGTGTTTATACGGTGAATGAGATGGTTGTACAATGTCATTCTCAAAGGTCATCTACCTGTCTATTTATTTCATCCTTCAACAGTGGAGGATAACGGTACTGCTTCGTGTTGATAGGTATATCATCTGTCGTTGGAATTTTATGTTCCAAAACATCAGTACACCCTATTTTAATCCCCAGGTAGATAATATCTGTCAGAATGTCCTCTCCAAATGTCCCTGATACTGTCTATTTCCTCCTCATTCAAATCCTTCAACTGCATCAGCTCTAGAATCTTTTCAACTCTTTCCTCTTGCTGTACACTAATTATTGCTACATTTGCATTCATTCTTCTTCATCATCCTCTCTTCTGTACTGTGAGATTTCTTCTAGCTCGATGGCTGGTACCGCCACCTCTACATCCTGATCTCTCGGATTGTAGATATACATGTACCCCTTTCCTTCTCGATTTGTGACTACTGCTTCTCCTAAATCAACCCTGGCTTGACCTCTAGCTTCTGACATATCCACATTTTAACTTCGGGTTTGTCACTCGAAACATAAAACCCATGCTG